CTCGGTGCTTGGTACTCAGTGCTCGGTGCTCGGTGCTCGGTACTCGGTGTTTGGTGTTTGGTGCTTGGTACTCAGGCCTTGGTACTCGGTACTTGGTGCCTGGCGTTTGGGGTTCGGTACTCGGGGTTCGGTACTTGGGCCTTGGTACTTGAGATTTGGGATTTGGGATTTACAATTAGGTTGTTAGTACTTTGACATATACATAATAGCACATATGACATTACACATGAGGGCAGGAACATATATGTACATTAAGTGTGTCCCCGTGCTCTGGTTACTCTAGGTGTACTGTCTACTGGCATTTGCAACTTACTCTGGGTCGTCCTTGTGGATGGTTCAACAGTGACTCAAGTGCCCCGCCTCCTTTTCTGTGCCGGCGGCATGATACTCTCTTCCATTTCAACATCATCTCTAACCTCGCCCGTCACGTCTTCAGTTAACCCAGCAAGGAGGTCTCCCATTCGTGATGTCAGTAATGCACCTTTTTTGGCCGGCTTGGCCGGGCGAGGCTTTGGAATTGCACATGAGACTGCCGGCCCTCTGGGTGTAGGACCTCCCGTCCTGTGTTTCTTCAGCGGAGGTCTCCTGTCAGCCAGGTCATCATCCACATCATGCTCTGTATGATGAGTAGCACTCTCGTTATCACTCTCGGCTTCTGTTGATGACTCCTGAGGCCTTTGGATGGTAACCCTCGGCTGCCTTCTCACTATACGAGTCTGAGGAGAGGGCGAGTTGCCAGATATGACAGATGGTATCATGTCCCCATCTTTGTTCTTCCATGCTTTGAACAGAAATGTGGGACCTTTGCCTGTTTCCTGCTGAGCATGCCAGAAATGGAGCAAGGTAGTGGTGTCCCAAATTTGCAGCTTCAAAGGTTCCTTCAAGTCAACATCCGCTGGAAGATATGTCCGGGCCATGAAGTCATCCTGACTTTGTGCAATGGCACTCCATGGCACAACCACCTTGTCCTTCCCGGAGCATATCCCTTTGTCCATACATTGAACAATTTGTCAGGTGATGCAACGACAAACTCATGATAGTACGATGTAAGAAAGGCTCTCACTATGGCCTTCTTCTCCTCAAGTTTGGTGTCAGTGATGTCCGGAAGGAGTGGCATACCCTCCCCGTCCATTTCGAGTTCGAAGGCTGGTTTTCGAATTCGTTTTCGACCTCCCTTGACCTGATGTCCTCCATCCCGTGCCCCAGCACCTATCATCGTGATGCTCAAAATGTTCAATCTGGTATACATGGTTCAAACACTCACCGAACTGTTCCTACACGTACTCCTGCCACACTAGCTCAATGTCCTCCCAGTCCTTCGTCTTCATGAAGCTGTCCCCATCTCCTAAGGCCTCATTATCATCATGCCTGCATGAATATTTTGAGATGAAGGATCTGCATCAATGGATAAATGTACTCACATCCTGAACAGCACCTTGCCCTTTTCATTCTTCCAAGCCGACATCACAAACACTCTCATCCCACATTGCCTCCACATCTTGTTCGAAAAGTGCTCCATATATGCTGGACCCTTCTTATGAGCCACTTGTGCTTGTATCTCCGGAGGCAGACAGTTGTTGGACCACTCTTTGGCTGTTTCTTTCGCCTTCTCCAACTCATCATGGTCCAATTCAGCCATGACTCTCTTTACCGCCACCTGATAATGTTTGAACATACCAGGATCTCCTGGCTTTACCCCGGACTCGTCCTCAATCCTCTTCAGCACCTCTTCGCATTTCTGCTGGTAGACCACCATCCTGGGCATCCATTTCCTCCCATACTTGATCATGTCCTTCCTTTCCTTCTTTTTCTTGTTGTTGAACAACCAAGTCTTGTATACCTAAGAGTTGATGAAAGAATGTGATGTTGAAAATTTAGTTTTCCACACAACAAAGAAGCCTCACCTGCTTCCTCTTTTTCCATTGTTTTTGGTCCAACTTAGGAGCAAACAACCTGGCCGCCCTTGCTATGGCAGTGAAAATCGCTCACTTCTCACTCCTTTTGGCAGCAGTCCACTCAGGAAGGTAGTTCTTCAACTCCAAAATCTCATTGTCCGTGAGCTTCTGAGACTGTGGTTGACGCATCCTGTGTCTTCCAGAAGTCGTGTTGGTGGAATGACATGTTCTTGCCATAGTGAATCAGAATGCAGAAATGGCTAAGGATTTGCAAGATGGAAGTATTAATGAATTGTGCGAAGTTGAACTTTGAGCAAAGCCTAATGATGGGTTAATCGGCCCATATTGGATGTGAAGCCATTAATGGAAATGAATTTGTAATGCGCCAACAGGACTGCACCGCATCATATTGCAATAACAATTCATTACACCTGAGCTGATGCCTTGCTTGCAACATTAATAAACAAGATGAAGATAGGTAGATGCACCCCAGTGCAAAAATCTCACAGGGTGGAAGCAAGGGGCAGCAAAGGTAGGAAGACTTGGGTCAAGGTCCCACTTGCAAGCACGAGGCGACATGCCTATAGGTCCATGCCTAACTCTCCCCCAGAATCACCAACAATTCAGCCTGTTGAGGCACCACCTCCTTGGGAAGACTTTCCTGACAATACTTATGAGCAGGATCAAGGCTCATTTGAGCCTTTGCAACTCCCAAAAACCATGGCAAGTTCATGTACAATGTTGGAGTGTCATTCAAACTATGGCTAAGCATTCAAAAATACAGAGTCAAAATGACTACCTCAGGCAATGGCTGCCAAGGCAGGAATCATATCTACATCACCTCCTCAATCGAGAAGCTCCACCAGAAGACAGGAGATGCATCGTCTGCAAACAGGATGGGGTATACAAATGTCAAGATTGTCTTGGCGAGCCACTCTATTGCATGGGCTGTTGCAGGAGTCAACATTGTAGCAATCCTTTCCACTGGATCAGTCAATGGAATGGGCGATTCTTTGAGCGGAGTTGTCTAGCTCATGTGGGACTCATTATATACCTTGGCCATGATAGCAAACAATGTCTGGCAGTCACTGATCGGTGGAATTTGTTTGAAGAAGATGAACCCGAAGACCTGCTCGAGCCTGAAGATCTGCCATTTGTGTCCAGACCCGAGTTCCAGCCAAAGGAAAACACCATGGTCATCGTCGACAAGTCCGGAGTTCATCGCCTGGAGGTTTGATGCTATGAATGTCAGAATGCCATGAGTCTGGACATTCAAATGTTTCGACACAGATTTTTCCCTGCATCTCTTAACAGGCCAAAGACTGTGTTCACCTTCAGAGTGCTCAATGATTTTCTACTGGACAGCCTTGAATGCGGCACCTCCGCGATGAACTATTACAGCAAGCTCCGGTAAATGACCTCCAGCATGTTTCCACACCTTGTTCCAGTAATGCCTTACTCTCTTCATCTACTGGTCATCATATTGACAAAGCACATTGCAAGGACCAATACAGAGAGCTCATGAGGGTCGCTCGACAGTGGAGGCAGTTGAAGACAATGAAATGGCATGGCTTCGGCCATCGTTCTGATAACCCGAGCATAGGAGAGCTCACATTATTTTGCCCGGCATGTCCTCAGCCTGGGATTAATGTGCTGGTTGTCAGAGGATGAATCTCTTGATGAGTGAGTCCTATTCTCAACCGCTGTGGTCTCCATAATAATACTAGTGATCCAAGCTGGAAATACACCCGGTCATTTGTGATGGACGGAAATTTCAAAGCCGAACATCTGCATCCCATTAAGCCATTCGATGAAGTTTGGCTGTCTGATGGGCTTGGATTCATGGTAGGAAAGGACAGGTATAAAATGCATCTGGCAGAGGCTGCTGACACAGTGGAAAAATCAAGCTGCAACAATCACCGGGCAGTAAATCAAGCTAATGCTGCTCGGCACAAGCTGGAGTCCACCGGTATCGGGGGAGTTGCCTGTGCCAGACACGGTTGCTTTGTCCCTCACTCCATGGTGGATTTTCAGAAAGGCGAAAGGCAAGCCACATCCACCATTCCCCATTCATGAGTTAACCATGGGTCACTTGCAGACAAATGAACATGGACTACGCCCTTTGCGAGGCTTCCCGGCACAACATGGAAGGCATCACCAGGGCTGTCACCTTCTATGATATTAATTGTCAATACAACAAACACTTTTGGGTTCAGGTGGATCGAAGTTGATTTCTAGAAATGGCACCACAACTAACCATCATTCCCGGAATTGGGTTGTGGCACGTTCATGGCCATCAGGACAGCTGCTATGTCCGATATGCTTCTAACTTTATTGAAGGCATTGGTCGGATCAATGGAGAGATAATGGAGATGCTATGGGCATGGCTCAATCTGATCTCCCCTGCTGCTCAGGGAATGTCATCTCCCCACCGAAAGGAATGCCTTGATTATCAGATGAATGACTCCAATTTCTGCAAGATGATTCGCATGAAAAGGACTCTATGCCGGAAATACCAACTGGCTAGGAATGGCATCTCAGAAAGTGGAAAGGCATTCGACAGACTCGATGAAGCAGCACCCTCACATTTGAAGACAGAATGGTTAGCCAGGGAGAGGATAGTTCAGTCAAGCAGATTGAATGATCCTTCAGCCATGGATGAATATGAGATCAATATCAAAAAAGGTACATTGAGCTCCATTGTCTCCATTGAGGTCTGAATTAATATTGCACTCAGCACCTAGCAAAAAGGAGATCGAGCTTAGATTGTTAGAGGAGGGTAACGCCCGCAATGCAGCACCCTCTCGCAGATCTGTGGCAACATGGATATCAACAGGGTTAGCAATTGAAGAGGCTCAGATTGCATTGCTCATCGAGGTCTGAAGGATCGGAAGAAGATCCACTGAGACACAGAGATTAGACATTGCCCGTCAACAGGATCAGCTCCAAGGCCAGATAGATGGATTTGCTCGGTCTGCTCTAACACATCTCGGGGAGGGATTTGATGCAGATGATGAACCTGAGGACTTGGACGTAGACATTCTAGATGATCTCGATGATGACCCGGCAGATTTCACAGAGACATCTCATACATGGACAAACTCTCCCAAGCTCACTATAATCCCATTGCCATCGAACCTGGGGGTTGATAGATGCAGACGATGCATGGCAGAGGATCTGATTCCCCTGGAGATGTCACTTTGTGAAGGGCAGGCCAATGATGCCCTTCACAATCTCCGCATTTACCTTTGCAACAAGGCCATCCTGTTCCAAACAACTGTTAGGCAGGCCAAATCCCAGGCCCTGAAAACTCGAGCTTGGTCCCAGGTGACGTCGGTGCAGCAGGCAGTCTCCCTCCATGCCAGCATATATACAAAGACAAGGAAGCAAATGATGAAACTTGAGCCAGGGCAAGACCAGCTTCAGAAATACAAACCCCTGCTTCGCGAGCAACTCAAAATCAGCACAGCAGTGGGCGACCCAAATGTCCGAGGTCAACGAAATGAATCTTTGGCTTGGTTTTGGTCTGTTGAAGTCGACCTTGGGGGTCCCGATCAATCGTGGAATGAGGAATGTGAGTTTCTGCTTGCATGTCATATCCAGCGGTTACCTGACTGGACCCATGCCAAGTTTACTGAGTCCATTGGCTGAGGGCAAAGGCACCACGGGATCAATGGAAGGAAGAAATGCTATTGGTCAAATTGGAGATGGATTGGACATGTAAGTTCTTTTTGTGAAAAACAACCCAATGGGGCGACCACATGCAGGAATCATTGGAGAAATGACTTCCAGGTCACAGATGCTATGCCGGAAGGCAATCCCAAATGTATTCATTGCTCGCACAGGATGCGCAGGCAGCTTTTCAAGACCTACAAAATGTGTTGATAGAGGCTGGAGATGAATGAACATTGTTTTCTCATGAAGTCTCTTTTTCCACATACACAATTGAGGCCCGGGAATTGTCCGGGTCAGCCCATGTCGGAGTTTGAATTTCGTATCCATCCATCAGTGATTCTTATCTTCACATCTTCACCATCTTTCACTTGTATTGCCAGCGTCATAGTCCTGTATTAGCCATGTCTGCAACTCCTGCATCCACTTCTGGCACTCTGAATGCCGAAAGCCATTACCGACCCCTGAAGCTGAGCCTTGCAACTATTTCCTGCACATTGGCAATGGCTGGATCGCGCGTCTGTGCATGCATCTCTCAATATCGGACGGAAGCTGCCAACAATGGTATATCTTCTGACCGGATCAAGTATTTTAAAGCTGGGCTGCAATGGGAGATGAATGTATGTTACCACTGCCCTGATGACTTTGTTGGTCAATGCTAAGAATTTGAGCAGACTTTTGTCACACCACTCCTGCAGTACTCCGCTTCACAGAATATTGTGTTGGTGGTTCCGGTCCCTGTCGCTTATATCCTTAAGTTGTATCCCATGCTAACCTGGAACACAGTTCCGGACGACATTTTTCATTCCACCTCCTTTCATTTCATGATGAGCCAATTGCAGGACATCTGTCCCAGATTGTGTTCGCATATACATGTCCATGGTGGATGGGAAACACCACAATCCCTGATCAACCATGGCAGTGGGATGAAATAATGGCTTCCTGCGTCTCTCACTACCAGTATTGGGCTGTAAGATCTTAGCTGAATTACCTTGATTGATGACTTATCTGTTTCAGCTTAATGTTGAGGATGATGCTTTGGTTCTTCCAGAGAAGTTGAAAAACACTTTGACTCCACCACTTATGGGACTGAGGTTCATTAAAGAACACATGGAAGCATTGATGGAGGAGCAAGATCAGGGCATCAAAGCCAAGATGGGAGAGGTGAAGATGTACACTGACATGTTAGAGAAATTGAGGAAAGGCAAAGGAGTGTAGTCCCATTCAGTCTTCATTGTATACAAGATGTAACATATTCTATGCATTCAAAAATCTTACATCCGAGTCCCGGACGCCCAGGTCCCAAGTCCCAAATTTCGGAGGTCGGAGTTTGGCGACCCAGAGCTCGGCAACTGTGTTGGGTGTCAGGGTATCCAGAGCATTGGAGATAGCATGTGTCAGTATTTTGAGTTTCATGGTTCATGTTTCGTGGTTATGGAATCGGGCGTCAGGGACTCGGTATTGAGAACAGTGTCGAGTCCCAGGTCACGAGCTCCAAGTCCCAAGTGCCGAACTCCGGGTCCCGAGTCCCGAATTTCGGAGGTTGGGGTTTGGCGACCTGGAGCTCGGCAACTGTGTTGGGTGTCAGGGTATCCAGAGCATTGGAGATAGCATGTGTCAGTATTTTGCATTTCATGGTTTATGTTTCGTGATTATGGAATCGGGCGTCAGGGACTCGGTATTGAGAACAGTGTCGAGTCCCAGGTCACGAGCTCCGAGTTCCGAGTGCCGAACCCTGGGTCCTGAGTCCCGAATTTCGGAGGTCAGGGTTCGGCGGCCCGGAGCTCGGCAACTGTATTTAAAGCATTGGAGATAGCATTTGTCAGTATTTTCCATTTCATGGTTCATGTTTCGTGGTTATGGAATCGGGCGTCAGGGACTCGGTATTCAGAACAGTGTCGAGTCCGGAGTCCACAATGTCAGGGCTCAGGGTTTTGTCAAATGTGTATGGCAATAACAAATGTTAATTCGAGCGTATTTATACATCTTCCCCCAGTCTCAAATATCACATGCTGAGGTCTGGGTGTTGGGACTCAGTAACCTGGCACCTGGGACTCCCATATGTCAAGTCACGAGTTCCAATTATCGAATACCGAGGCTTGCATCCAAATTATTCAGTCCCACATATCACTTTGCAAATGCTCAAAATTGAGTATTGAGGTCCGGATAACTATTGGTACATGGTATTCATTTGTTGGAATGTATATAGGTCACAATGCTTGCTCTTTGTTTGATCTTTCACACGCTGTATGGACCATCCACACTAGCCCATCCACATGATGGAACACCAGCGTAAATGTGAACAGCATCCCTCATATACCATGCCCAAGCAATCTGATCCCCTTCCACATCATAAACTCCATGTCTCACAATCCTTCCGGAAAACACAATCATACAGCCGGAATTGTACTTGAACTCCAGCTGAAGGCTTGGCATTGTCATCCGAGCATTAGAATAGTTCCCCACGGTGGTGAGAATGTCGAAGCATTCAGCAATGGACATGTGGTCTTGATGATGGGGGGTTTCCCGATTGGAAATGATGGAGAGGGTGTTAAACACAGATGCCCAGTACTACAGGGCCTCCGGCATCTGTGGTAGATCCTTGCTTACTGCTATATTTCCAAGGTTTGACAAGGTTCTCAATCCTGCCCAGTACTGCTCAGGATGCATGACTCTGAGTGCCGCAGACGCGATGGCTGCTGGCCTTGCAATGGCTTTGAGAATATTCTCACAGGAAGGTCCCTTCAATGATGCAGATACCTCCGGATCTGACACATTCTTTGAGATTGGTGAGTATGACTGCCGGAATCACCATCCCATCAGATCCTACCTCATGTCCCTGTTGAAACCATGCCGGAGATAGATTGATGCATCTGGGAGTTGGTCCAACATCTTCCAAGCCCCGGTTGAACAATGTTTGATTAGTTCGCCAATTGCCATCAGCCCTTACACTTTTTTCCAGGCTTGGAGTGAGCAAATTGGTGGCCTCCCTGATTTCCTTCTGTAGGTTCCATTAATATTCAATATCCATTGAGTAACAATGTATATTACACACCTGGGTGGTGTCGGTCAGGGCGTCTGGGAGGTACCATGCAATGATGGCACCGGATGCATTGAGAATTGTGGCAGGTTCGTTGACCAACCTTTTGCCTTCATGGCCAGGAGGACACCTCTCAAGCAACCTCGCCTCTCTATGTTCATTATGCCTGGTGTCCTTCGGGGAGATCAATTTGCTATATCTTGCAATATCCATCTGCATCTAAACTGTCATGCAGGAATTTGAATGATAAAATGAATTTTCTGAATCTGCACGAAGACCCACTGAGATTTTTATATGCCTTTATGAGTACATCAGCCAAGCGATCGCACGCCATCACCAGATCAGTGTCTAGGTTGGGGGAAGGTATGACTGGGCCTCCTCCAGTCTTCTCTGCCTTGAATTCCTGTTTGGTATATCCCCATGCTTCATAAGTCACAGTCAGGGCCCAAGTGCACCAGATGTTTATGCTATCAGGAGGGGAAGGGGAAGAACCGTTCATGCTGGATGTTAATCTTGGGAAATCAGACGCTGAATGCTGGATGTCCGGACTTTGGTGTTATAGGGGGTGGAGATAGAAAGGATCAGATAAAGGAGCCTGGGATAATTTTGGCTGTCAAAGCTGTATTATTATCCATTGCTCAATGAAATACTACCTGTTTGGAAGTGTGCTGGTCATCAGATATTCATTTGTCGATTCATGGGTCCCAGAACTTGGAAGTCGGTACGGTTGACCCATATTTGGGTGGTCGGAATTTGGCGTCTCATAGGGCAACACAAGCTTCGCACAGCCATGTCAGGAGATCACCTGCTGCTCCGGGAACTCGGTAACTTTGATTTATTACCTCATCTGAGTACGGTTGACTCACATTTTGGTGGTCGGAACTTGGCTTCTCGTAGGGCAACACAAGCTTTGCACCCCAGATTCCACATTCTGCAAGACAACCTAAGCACCATCAAAGGCCATGTCAAAAGAGCACCTGCTGCTCTCTTCAGAAACATCTCAACTTCGGTTGGCCATTTAACACGGAAAGTATTAACCAAATTATGTGTTGGGTTCCGGGTCCCGGAACTCGGTACAGTTGATTCAAATTCTGGTGGTCGGAACTTGGCTTCTCATAGGGCAACACAAGCCTCGCACCCCAGATTCCACATTCTGCAAGACAACCTGTGCACCATCAAAAAGTATTAATTAAATTATGTGTTGAGTTCTGGGTCCCGGAACTTGGAACTCGGAACTTGGTACAGTTGACTCAAATTCTGGTGGTCAGAACTTGGCGTCTCGTAGGGCAACACAAGCTTTGCACCGCCATGTCAGGAGATCACCTGATGCTCTGGGAACTTGGTAACTTTGATTTATTACCTCCTCTGATTTGGTTGATGTACAACTACCTCAGCTCCATCATGTCTACAATTATGATACACATGGGCCCACTCATCTATATTTTATACCACCCTCGGCCCACCCATCTAATACAACATCCCATACAACACCCTCGGCCCACCGGTCTAATTAATATGCATCTGGGCCCACCCGTATAATACAATATTTTATAATACCCTCGGCCCACCTGTCTAATACAATATTTTATGATACCCTTGGCCCACCCATCTAATTTAATATGTGTCTGGGCCCACCCATGAATGTGATAACAAGTACCTACCCATCTATCTCATACACATCTACCTTAATACACCCATCTGCATAATATCCAACTACCTCGGCCCACCCGTCTACCTAATATTCATGTACATCGGCCCACTCATCTATTCTATATATTCCCTGCATGGGCCCACCCACCTCCATCAGGAATAATTTGCCTCCCGGCCCATCCGTCATAGTCGAGGATATTGTTATCCTGGGCCCATGGTCCACTGGCCCGTATCATACGGGATATTATGCATGTCCGTTCCCTCGTATTATACAGAGATAGGTCACTGTAATATGTGAAAGGAGGGTTAAAGTCAATTTCATCGTCTTCTGGCCTACTGCATACAGCAGTTGTCAATGCTCTGCTATCCGCTGTGAGTTGTGCATGCTTCCGAAGCCTGTCAGTGTCTCGCTCATCCTTGCACTCATGAACAGCTTCCCAGTTTGTCATAACATCACTACTGCCTGCTGAAAACTCATATGCTGCACAGGCCACAATAGGATCTTCATCCTGCACGAGAAGCTCCGTGCAAATACTAAAGGGTTTGAAGTGAGACAGGGCGAAAATGTCCCACATCCTCGAGTTTGTTCAACGAGGAATAGACATTCCGATGACGCGAGGGACGAGTTCATGAGCCCCATCCCCTCGCTGTGCATTCGTGTGTTCAACTAAAACATGTGAGTGGTGGGATGGATGCCCTGTCTTCAGTGGATGCAAACACAGGACACCAAGGCAGGTCTCGAACATGTTTTTGATTTTGGCACTTCGATTGATTGGTTCCACTCAGACACAATGGCAGAATTCATAGAAGTTCATGTCTGCCAGAGAATCTGCACGGTATAGGTAATGGTGAACTTGGTTGGCCTCAAGAAGTTGACCCTGTCCATCAGTAGCAATCCGCATGGGGACATGCTCAGCGTTGTCGTCGTCCTGGCTAGCCAATAAATCATGTTCACTGCTGATTTGGGTGCGTGTTAACCATGGATACCGTTGTTTGACATACACGACGACTAGAGACGATAACATGGGCATGGTTTGATGAGAAGAGATGCCGTCGCCAAATCCCCGGATGTATCACATGGCTTGTTGTGCATGAACTTGTTGCTGTCCGTTGAACTGGGACAAACACTTATGCAACAGAATCCTCGTGTTCTCTGTGACAGATGTCCCAGGACCGCATGCTGGAATGCAAGCTACTGCCCGAGAAAGCAATGATAGCATTTTGTATGTTTTGACATCCATTTGTGTTATATAGTCCAAAATGTAGAACATGGCAGCCTTGGCCCCTCAGCCAGACAATATCCATTTGATATCATGGTTGTGTCTGCAAAACACCAAGATGTAAGGATTGAAGTAGTTCACATTGGCATCGCAACACATCAGAAACACAGAATTGGTGTCTGGGTCAAATGAGGAGGCTTCTACAACCTCATGTGGGAACAAGAAACGACATCAATCCTTATTCTCATATTTGTGACACACCGGATGGCATTGGTGACGCTGCAAAGCTTCTCCACATCGTTTTATTTCAGTGACATACACACATTCCCATGCATTCACCACTTCTAACGATGCCTAAGGTTCTGGGGGTTTAGGAGGCTGCTGTATGCGGGGTTAAAACTTGGGATCAATGATGTCCTCAGTGTCAGGCAGGTGATGGTGAATGATATCTTCGAAAAATGCAAAAAAATGTGTCTGGTATTTGGACGATCCATGTAAGCGGTCATGGATAACAGACGGATTCTGACCACAATCCAGCCAAATGAGAAAATGACCATGTAACAAGCCATGTTCAGTAAATTCTGTGGTGCCATAAAAGGCATGTATGAATCCTAGAATACCACCTGTGGGAGTTGCTCGGTTGCTATCAAAGTCCCAGCCTAGCAGGTAGCGGAACAACACCTTGTAAGAAAACTCAAAGAAATCTGCAGCTGCCACTGGATCTTGTGCAAGTCGGAGGGCACGTTCTCAGCCGCCAGGCATAATAGGAAAGTGTGCGCTGAGATCAACAGTCTTGTCCCCACACATGACTTGAAAGATCAGACTGTGTGCAGGGCTAGGATTGAATGTGAAGAACAATTGTGGCAAGCCAAAATATCCATAGTAATTACATATCTCATTGTGCACAAAGGTCTTGGAAGCTTGTGACCCTGGAATTTGGGCAGACATGGTGTTGACCTGATCCAAAAGTTGAAGGGCATCACACTCCTCAGAGGTCGGATTCACAATCTTATGTTTGTGCTCAATTTTGTGTGCTAGTCGCTCCAGCAGAGTGGGGGTCACACTAGTAAGTTTGCAAGCCATGGTGTCAAAATGTGCCTTTCCGACTGTGAAAGACGTTTGAAGATGAGCTTGCCGCCACTGTAAGATATTTAACACCACAAAGATGAAACTATTATTGTACTGAAAGGCACGATCAGATATTGACAAGAAGTACTTTGCTTGCCTTTTGAGGGAAAGTGGACTTGGGCAAGCCTTGATCTTAAATCCACCAATTCCGTATGGGAAGAGAGTTGGGTAAAGGCCTGGGAAAAACGAAGGGTTGTCATACTTGGGAACAGCATGCACCGAGTGATGAAGGATCAGGTCAGGTTCTCCAGTTTTCACATTCTTCGGGAGGAGATTGCGGATCGCAGAGGCTACAAAATGATGCCCACTGACTTTGTCGCTTTCAGGATCGGCCACACCCATTTTCTCCACCATTATTGAGCTGTCTTCATGCCCCTGATCACTAGGGTCTGTAAACATAGCAGCAGGGTGTTCACTGAATCTAGCACTCTCGTCTTCAAACACAGTGTCCGCGTTAAGCTCGCTATCTTCAACAACGCACTCTGACAAACCAGGCATAGGGCCATCGACTGGGTACAAATCCATCAGGGAGGAGTCTAGGGGGATATTAGCATACAGGGTGTTGTGATGGTGCAACCACACTAAAAAGCTCCATATCTTATGCCTGCAGACCTGAAAAAGAGTACCTAGGTGCTTTGCATCGAATTTCTGTGGACCAATGAAGATGACGCTGGGAAAGCCGTTCACATCCACAGGAGTGTGAGGCAGCACGGTGGCCATAGACACCACATTCATCTCATGTGCACACATATTGCCATGAAATACCTTAGGCTGTGTTGGATCTGCAGACTGAAACAGGCGGGTGACATGAGCTGTAATGCAATACAACGCACATACTTTCCTAGACCCAGGTCAGGTCTGCAAACTGATCAGGCAAACATCCTCGAAAGAGATGGTTGGCAAGAGCTAGCCGTGGCACCTTGCAGTTCACTAACGAGGAACTGCAGTCGGAGCACATGTTGAAGCTCTTCGCAGTACCAGATTCCTCAAACTGTACACCAGACTTCTCCAACATCAATCTGTCAATGAGGCTGTGCCCGAATGAGAAACATGATGACAGACTTTGAATGATGCAGCGCTGGACAATAAATGGATTGATGAGATGGATGAGGTCCAAGTTGTAGTCACCCAAATCATCGGAGAGAGAAACAGAGCTACATGCATCATGGTACCTCCCACAAACAGCACATATGGGAGGTTCTGACCACTGTGAAGCAGTATGATAATCATGGAGGCAGCAGTGGGCGACATCTTTGTTCACAATGGTGGGCCATTCAAGTTCACGTTTCACATGGCCAGCATGAGTCTGTGCAATCCCCTCAAGTTTGAGAGCAGCACGATGTAATTTGCCACATTCACTCTCTTTGTTTACCAAAACCGAGACAGCATCAAAGACAGACACACCAAATTCTGTGCGTAAGATATGTGAAACGAGCAAGTCATCACTCAGCATGCTCAGATCTGTAAAGGGCAGAATGGCCAGTGAGATGTTGGCCAACAAGGGAGCACGTGCATGGAAGAGATCCTAAGCACGTTGATGCAGCACATTCACAACACCATTGCACAACTTTCAGTGAGAACGTGTGTCCACCAATGCATATACAGAGGCGGGCAGGTGATGAACACAAGATGAGATGACAGTGTTGTTCAGGGCACAGAGCCTACAGCAGAGTTCTTCCAAGGGGAGTGAAATCCATGGCATCACCAATGCACAAGATATTGTCAGAGGAGAACCACCTATGGGAGAGGGTATGATAGGTGGAGGCATACATAGCATGTGCGCGACATCTTCACCATACAAGTCACAGAAATGAGCAGAGATAATTGAACAGCGCTGTAGGAGAGGAATCTTGGCTATAGGTGAAGACACTTAAAACTAATGGGTGCTCTACAGCAAGACCAGGATACGAGACAACAACTCGACCCAAAGGACAACCACTGAGAGAAGTTCCTCGGAATAAAAATGGAGGGAAACTCTATGAGCTAGGCAGGCGCTAACAGGCGCGAGAAGGTAACACGTGTGAGTGGGAGGTTCGAGAATGCGTGTGCGCAAAGCGATGGCACGCTCAGAGCGTTAAGGGAAAGTATCCTTAATGAGAAGTGGATGCTTAGATGATAGTTGATTGAAGGATATGATCTGATTTCAAGCAGGGAGGTGATCTATACACTTTCCAGTACCCAGAGATAAGGAGAAAGTAAGTACCAGAACCAAAAAGAATCCCTCTGTATTTATGAAGGGAGATTTTGCTATGTGGCACGCTTCTGAACCGAGTAACTATATCAACTCTAATTATAACTAAGTTTAAATAGACTTTCTATATGTAGCGCGGACATCGGACCAAAGATTTTGTTAGTTCAATGAATGAGATAGAAATAACGCACCAGCAAATCAGTCAGGACATGGGACAAATGGACGGACGGTAGCGTGAAGACCTAGGAGGAGGCGCACAAATGCGCGCGCGAATTGCGCATAGCGCGAGCGCAGGTAAGGCGCGCCTGAGTGCACGCGAGTGTACCTAAGGAGCGCGAGTGCGCGCGAGACTGGTCCTTTGGATTAGAGCTGGATCATATAGGAATGTATGGATAAGGGCCACATACTCGGCATTGAGACACATGAGTCTCTACATCTCCTGGGGACTTACATTCTGAGTGTCCCCACTCAGTGCTATAGCGCGGAATCTTGGACTTAGAGAAATGGTGATAGACAGGGATCAGGTGATCGCGAGAGTAGGGTCGTCCTTTGATGATCGCGAGCATTGATGATGTAATCGGGGGAGATGTTCATAAGAAGATGGATGTGTTCTTGCAATCTCTTGACTTCTTTCTTATCAATCTCTCACCATGCCTACTTTCAATGTTGCTATGCTGAATGCCACTCCTTCCCCTGAGCCTGTTCCAGTGGCGCAAGGGCCTCCTGAGGACGCACCTATGGGCGACACTAGCGCGGAATCCGATACCAACTGCCTCCTTGCTGCTTGGGCCTCCATTCTGGTCTCTTTGGAAGGATGTGTGGTGTCTGCGCCTGATCTCAAGCCGGAACTCCTCGAGGATCAAGAGACGTAGTTGCGCGAGTGGTATTCAGTGCTGGTGAGTGTGCTTACATGTCTTGATCTATTGTAATCTGACATTCCTAGGCCATCTTGAACAGCTGTTCTACTCGCACAGGTGTGTTGGCGGTGGCACTGGAGATGGATGATAAGAGTGCAGAGTTCTTAAGGCAGGATGGAAGAGTTGCAAGGAGATTGAGGTGGTCATGAAGGACTGGAAGGTGAGGGTGATTGTGACAGTTCCACAGGCACCTCCCATGCAAGCTGCACGCGCCACTGACGTGTCTGGTACTGATGCCAGTAAGAAGGTGTGTGTTCTGTTTCCTGCTGGTGCGCCACTCTATTAACATGTTTGGCTGCGCTAGCCTTGCATCGGGCGCATGTCTGTGGTTGAGGCATGGCGCTGTGGCACTTGCATTGCCAAGGACATAGACTGCGGAGGCGTGCCTGGTCGCTGCTGCCCTCCTTGTGATGTGTCCAAGCGCGCCTGCACTTTCTGTAAGTCACGCCTCTTGTATTTCATTGGTGCGCACCACTGACTGCTGTGGATTAGCTAAGCGCAACAATACAGATGCGCCTAAGGCATGCCCGCACAAACCGATGCCTAAGTGTCCTATCGCTGAGTCTGCAAAGGAGACCGCTTCCTCCATTGCTGTGGAGGATGAAGAAGAATCCGAGGAGTCTGAGATGGATGCGGAGATTGTTGGAGAGTGTGCTGTGGAGGAAAAGGTCGTGCGCACCTCGCGCAATATTCCTGTGTGCGCCGTTGGTCCTTTGGCATCTGGTTCTGCGCCTAAGGGAAAGGACAAGTCCAAGGATCCAGCGGTGGAGTTGAAAGAAGCTTGCATGGAGGCCGCACGTTTGAAGGAGGAAAATGCGCATCTGCGCACTTCCACTCTCCAGATGCGCCAGTATGCGCGCGCCCAACAGGCGGACCTCCTCAACTATTCCAACAAGTTTTTTGCTATGTCCAACACATGGGCTGAATTGGAGAGGCAGATCAATGACTCCCTTAAGTAGATGCACCTTTCTTTTGTTTTTTTCTTGTCTCCTAAGCGCCAATGTGCCTTTGTAATAGATCCTGTGTTATCTTGTCCCATGTCCATGTCCATGTCCTCATCTGATTCACTGGGCTAAGAAATTAAAATTATAAGTTATGTAAGTAAGGGACAAGTGCGAGACGAGGTCAAGGTAATGCAATAGACTTTACTGAAATTTCTGCGGGGTGTGCGCCTGTCTTGTCTTCTTTGCGCGCCTTCCATCATCTATCCCTGCCTTGTTGCACCATGCGCGTGTGTCATATCCCGTATTCCGGACCTACATCCGATAATATTCCCACGCCTCATCCGGACCTTCGGATGTCCTATCCATGTCTCCAGTCCTCTACCCATCCGGATCCCTGCACCTCTGCACATCCACATCCACACGTCCATGTCCAGATCCCTTTTCCTTCGCAGCTAGCCTGCATCATTCATCCTTGTCCTGTTGCCCTAATGCCACATCCTATATATCCATGCATCTCATCCTTGTCCCATTGCCCTAATGCCACATCCTATATATCCACGCATCTCATCCAGACCATATCCGATCCGGTCCAATCCGATGTATAGATCCGTTTCCTATCTGATATACGATAAGCTTCATAATTCATTTCCTGTGCATATAACGTCAATACAGCCTATCCGGTATTCCTTGTTACCGGTACCTCGGTTATATCTATTACCGGTATGCTTACTGATCTGTTAACCTATGTTCATTTCCGACTCGCGTTTGTCAACCTTTGCATATGCTTCATACATAGCCTCGGACTCTGCTTATTGATCCTTCTGTTATTTCTCTTAGTATATAAACTCGTGTATGTATATGTCTTGTAGTACCTCAGTCTGAATATCATATTAGTCCTCGCACTAGTCTTCACTCTAAGTCCTCATATCAGTTCTAGTCTTCCAACTTAGTTGATATCCATCTCAGGCCTAGGGAGTTTCTCCCTAGGCCGGAGCTCTGCTTATCCGATACTCTGCTTATCCGATACTCTGCTCATCCGCTCATCTGATCCTCTGTAGTTTCTGGAAGTTCATCCGGATCTTTCCCACGGTCCTCCGGACCTATTCTGCTTCGGACTTTGTCCTTGCAGCCTTTCCTCTGTTTACTTCTACTCAGGACAAGTCCCGAGTAGCCATTATACATATCCGTATCAGGACAAAACCTCATTGTAATTTCCGGAAGTTCCTCCGGAACTTTCCCGCACTCATCCGGAAGTTACTTGCACCCATCCGGAAAGTCCTTCCGAAGTTTCCTGCGCCTTCGGACGTCTTCGGACTTTCCTTGGACACCAATCTGAAATTAAGGGCTCATACTCGGGTAAGGGGCGCAGCGCACGAGCTGAAGCCAAGCCCCTCAGAATCAGTCCTACCCTTTGTGCATGGTCTTAACAGCGCAGTTGAATGAAAGTTAGAAAAAAGGTGCACGGCGCCGCATGCGCGTTAGAAAGTGAAAGTCTATTGAGGTGATTATACGTGCGCTATACACATAAGGTAGTGATCAGTATGTACTTGTGGGGTATTAGCGTTTTTCGTGGTGCATTGACATTTTCTAGAGTCTGTGGGGTTTATGTGCAGGCAATGTGCATTATATGAACAAATGAGATGAAAGATATCACTGGATGAAACCCGG